GAATTAAAAATAATATTAATTACAAATACATAGTCTGGTAATTGAGGCTCCCTACGTCGGATTATAGTGTCTTTTTGATCTCGGATTAAGTTTTAGAAAATTTATTTCCATTTTGCCAAACAATATCTATAACCCTTTAAAAAATTTAGTATGTAATTAAACAATTTAATTGTAAAAACCATGAGTAAAAATCTCTTTCCTAACATAAAAAATGCAATGTAAAGTTAATAATAAATAATTATATTTTAATTTCCTGAGCAAAAGATTTCACATTTTTCAGCTGATTCGGTAAAAATTTCATGCTTATGCGTCCCTGAATGCGTGTATATATATGAAAAATCTGAATATACACCCAAGCAAAGCTGCTGCTGGCAGTTTGTATGTATAAAATCCGTCGGTCGTATATATTCGCCGAGAGTGCTCTTCTCGCCAAGTGCTATTACTTTTATCTTTTTTTTTTTCATTTTTTATTTTGCTGCGCGCGCGCTCGTTGCTTTTATCTCCGCAATTAAAACTGACTGACTGGCTGGTCAAAATGCAGACACGACAAGAAGTGCGCTTTAAATTTGCAGAACGCACTCGCAGCAATTTTCTTTTCAGCCACCTCAATTGTGCGCCGCTCAAGGGGCCTTTCGCTCTTTCCAAGAATTAACAAGCATGAAAGGATGAGATGAAGTTTTCAAATTAGAATAGAATGAAGTTATTTAGAAAATGAAAAATTTGTATAGGATTATTCACATAATTATTGATAAAAACACAATTTAATTTATTCACAATCCAAATAAACTTGTTTTATTCACATTGATTTTATTTCACGTATTTTCTCTTTTTGATTGCAAATAAGAATAATTGTAAATAAATCCCAAAAAAAATTCAGCATTTTAATATTTTTTGTAATTGAAATTCAAAATTTAGAGTGATTTTTAAATACAAATTTGAGCTATTTAAAAAACTCGCAGAAATCAAAGGTGCCGCGCTCGACAGGTATTTATACAAAACCTCAGCAGAGAAAATAAAAAGTTTATAAGGATCGAGAATTCCAAAGGCAAAATCTATTCACGCACAAACAGCGGAACCACTTATTTCAAGCGCAATAGAGTCCCAAGTTCATTCAGACCTCAGTGAGATGATTTTTTTTTTTATTGTGAGAAATGCACCTTGCAGCGAAGCACCCACGACTGCTGACGGGGACACAATGGGAAAAATGCAGCGAGGGAGGAAATCGATGATGAGATCGTCGACGCTGCACAATGAAGGGTATATTTTTCTTGTTGGGTAAATTTTGGTCAAATGCTTGAATTCTTTCTTTCGGCAGCAGTGAGCAGTAAAAAAACTTCAATGAGGGGTCGTCCCCAATTTTATGGAATGGAATTTATTCCATTCAAAGCAACAGCTTTGTAAATTGCAGCAAATTTAGCCATTCTGCTGCGGTCAATAAAAATTGCATCAATTTCATTGTAAAATGAGCACAATTAAATATTTCTTATTACAAATTGATTAAAATAGAATTACTGACACTGACAAATATAAGGTTAATTATAAATAGTTTTAGGCAAATTAAGCCTCTAAAATATTTTGGATATAAATCTTCAAAGCATCCTGAATACAAAAAAAGCTATAGAGCAAAATTAATTACTAATTTGAAAATAATATTAAAGTTTTTTTTCAATATAGTTTTTGGAAGACTTTAAATAAATTCTGTATATAAAAATTGCAGATTGACGACAGGAAACGTGTGAAAAATCATTATATAGAAATGTAAACCTCTCGAAAACTTGATCAATCCGCACCATACTTTCAAGTTCAATGTAGGTGGGATTGAAAAGAAAATCGTTCAGTGTGGCGAGGAAAAGCTTATAATATATAAATGCATTATCCGCAAACACTGTGTAGAGGGTCGTGAGATCTAATCCGGGGATTTTCGAGTCATTTGGGCCAGAGACGCCCTTAATCCCCTCACTGCGAGTGAGTAAATTTTGCATTCAATAAGCGTGTATTTACCTTGCAGCTGAAATGGGGCGTGAAAATTCAACCTCGATTGACACGTCAAAACATTTGCTGCCGCTCGGTCTTGACAGGCCAACAATGCGGCTAGGGTCGCACCCTGACTCAATCTCAGGTATGTGTGCACCTGCGAAAACAACTGATGTGTGTGCAGGAGTAGAGACGAAAGAGGGAAAAAAGATTTATAACAGATATAAGAAGCGAGCGTAATATTAGAAATTCACAATCTATCTTCTTAAGCACTCCTTAGTGACATAGTCAAATCAAGTCTTTACAACAATGATGATTAAATTTTCCTATTATTGATAACAATTTTTTTTTTAAATTCCAGTTTTGATGCGATAAAAAAATGTACTCGATTTGTTTCATATATGTTGAACAAAGCCTCTCATTTTTTTAAATTTTATAGGTATCAGTTTTAATTTTAACCCATTTGAGCAGATCTTAAGAATGCTATTTCAAAATCTATTATATTTTTTAAACAATTCAGTTTAAAATTTTTAAAATCTTTTTGTATAAAATAAGGTGCACATTTTGGCTATCTCAGTAGCTTATTTTCAAGGTGCATCAAAATTTATAATTTGAAATCTTGCCAGGGGCAATGACCTTTGGCCTAGATGCTTGGTGCTCGTTAAGATAAGATTCCTTGGTCCCTTAACTCGAACCTCCCACCAAAGAAAATTGAAAAATCTTTATCCGCGGATTAATGTTTAGCAGCAACTATTTTTAACTCCCTCGGCCTATATGGAATTAATAAAATATGAATATTTTTTATATAAACTTGGGTATTTTATCGAGCCATAAAACAAACTATCATGCATATTTGTTTGCAAAAATCAATAATATCGAGAGCTATAACGCTCAAAATTTTTCTTGAATTTCTCCGAAGCGAGAGAAAGGAAAGAAATTAACACTTTTTTTCAACTCTACAATGAAACTCTTTTGTTTATAAAATTTACACGGTCACCCCGACGTTCCTGGTGCCAAAGTTTGAAATACAATCGAATTAATTCTGACAAAAATTTTCTTGAGCGATCTGAAGCGATCCACGAAATGATTTTTCCTCAGCATGACAAATTCAGGCGCCAGCGACCCGCAATTTTCTGGCTATCATAATAAATGAACATAGCTGAAAGTTATTGTATATTTGCTGTCCTGGCGTGGTTCCATTCTCTTTAAATATGGAAAAGAGCTTAAATTAAGCCTCCTCATGTCTTCTGCAAAAATTAATTTAAAAAAATTCATTCCTTTTGCTAATAAATAAGAGCTTTTTCAATGTCTCAATTGATAAATTTCAGAGCGATTATCGAAAATTGAGTATGTCTTAAGCACAGATTTATGCAAAATGAGCCATAAATGCACGCAAAGTGAGCATTATCTGGATCTACACATGAGCTGAGAGCGGCTTTGGCAATAAGGGGTGTTCGGCGCATTTGCAGGCGCCGAGAGTTGTTTTCTCGACAAGAAAACAACTTAGTCGCCGGCGCGCGATCTCACACACACACACACTCCTTATGATAATATTGGCGCAGGTCATGACCAGCGCAGCAGCACCTCTCAAATATTGATGACAACTCGAGTGCATCAAGAAGAACACCCTAAAAAGCTGCAATTACCCTGAAGAGCGCCCTCGACTCGCTACTCTTCAGCGCAAGAGTCGAATAACATAAAACTCTTCTCATTTAATGCCTGTGAAGAAGGATTTGCTTGTAATTCGAGAGCCGCGCGCAAATCAGCCGCCGAAATCAAAACAAATCTCGGCGGAGATGAGCGTTTTTCCTCGTCGTATGTTTAAATTGCCGAGAGCAGCAGAGTGAATGCGGCGAAATGAATGAAGAGAGCGAATGAATGCGCGGCGCGCACCTCTTCAAGGCGGCTCGAGTGCCTTTGGATGGCTTATTTTGGCATGTTAAGTATAATTATATACTTGACGTAATTGATTCTCATTTATAGAGCATAAAAAGTAAGCAATTTAAAACAAGCACATTTTTAGGATGTCATTAAGATGCAAGAAAAAAAAATACTCGAAATATTTTTGACAAAGGGATTCGATTGGCGGTGCAAAATGCGTACGTAATGAAAATAATTTTGCATTAATTTAAAAGGAAAAAAATCGAGCACTGTTCGAAATAGCACAGCGCCGTTTAAGGAGAGCAGCAGTTGGTCGGAGCAGTTAAATATCTTCCAAAAATATATTATATAATTATCATGGTTATAAAATATCATGCAGGAAGGGTGATTTGGTTTTGTGATATTGAAAAAAGTTGGCAATATTATTTAGCAGAAATTAAGTTTGAAATTTAATTTTTCACACAAATTTCGACCCAGGGAAAGTTGCAGGAAACAAAATATTTCAATTATATTTTGTTATAATTGAGAAATGCCTTTTCCAATTTTTGTTAATTTTCCCAAAGTGTGCGAAAAGATGTGTAAATTTCAGCGCAGAGCGTGCAGAGACAGAAATAGCTCGTTGTAAATTTATAATTTATTTCAATAAAGTGACATTTATGCGATGTGGGATTTTCATTAATTGCTCTCGGTGAAAGCACACCTGCTTCAATTATCCCTCTATAAAGGGTTAAAATGACATACAATTAAAAGCTTAATCAACATTACAATTTTTGGTAAAATGACTAATAAGCTTTTCCTAGAGACAATGAAGTGATTTGAAAGGAGCGTAATTGAATTCAAAATTTGTATTCAAATATCAAGACTTTTTTTAAATAAATTTGTTTTCCTCACAAAGCAAATTTAATTTTTAACGATTTTTTTTTTTCATTTTCCAGCAGTTTGGGTCCGGCGCTGAAAAACGGTCAACGGAAGAGGGCGAGCGAAGCAACCCCTGCGCGCACGTCTCTCCTCTGCAACCCCCGGCAGCAGAAGCGTCTCCGCCTCGGGAGGCGGCGCCGCGTCCCCCCTCCAGCCGATGGCGCCGCCTCCGGTGGGTGCGTGCGTGTCGGGACTGGTCGGGGTCGGCGGCAGACAAGTCTTGGCATGTTGCCGGTGCAGGCGGGCGTCGCAGCAAAGTAGGCACAGAGCAAGCTGGCTTCCTCGACGGCCGCGTTCGAGCAGCACGACCTGAGCAGGGCTGCCGAGCTGCAGCTGCTGCCCGAGCTCAATGGTGACCTGGCGATGTCCCTGAGCCCCAAGCAGCACCAGCAGGTAGCGCACTCGACCCCGTTCTCGGTCACCGACATTCTCAGCCCGATCGAGGAGTCGTACCGGAAGCAGCAGCAGCAGCAGCAGCAGCAGCAGGGCGGCCTCGACCTCGCCACCCCGCCCTCGCCCTATCGCAGCAGCGCCAGCAGCACGGCCAGCGGCCCGGCGGCCGCCCCCCCGGCCCAGCACCAGCACCACCAGCACCAGCAGGCGGCCATGAGCTCGTACATGCACGTGCCGCAGCTCGCCGGCCACCACGGCGCCGCGGCCGCGGCCACGGCCGCCGCCTTCCCCGCCCAGTACTGCAACGGCACGGATATTGCCGCCTACGGCGACATGAGGAACTCGGCGGCCGCGGCCGCCGGCTGGTACGGCGCCACGGCCAACGACCCGCGCTTCGCCAGTGAGTACATGAGTACGCAAAACCACTTTTCTTACATAATATTCTTACCACCTTATTCATCAAATCAAAAATTCATTCAATATTATTCAAAGGTACAATAATTGCTTTTACTTTCTGGTATTCTTAGGATTATGATATGAAAATTTTAATTAAATTGACCCCTATCAAGATAAAGCAAATATAACTGCGGATTCAGAGAGCGATCTAAAAACCACTGCTTGGAAAACGAATGAAAATGTCCACATTTAACTGTTAATTGGAAATCTTAATATTTTGCAAAACAAATTAGAATTTTATGTGTCCTGAAACAATAATATTTGTATTTAAAACTAAAATACAAATTATCAGCTTCATCAAAATTTTGGATTATTTATTTTGGCAGCTCCATAACAGCAAAAGAATTTGGAAAAAATCCAATCATTTTGTCAATAATTCAGTCAATTTTTTTATTCATTTTACTTGATTTGGGCCAAGCAAATTTTTAATTGGAAAAAAATATACTTTGAAGAAAACAAACAATTAAATAATTAGAGTAACTTTACAAACAGACGTGGTTTTGTCGCTCTCAACTTTTTAGACTTGATGATTTTCATTAAAAAAGTTGGTGCCAACCTTGATAATTCAGATCGAATCGTATATAATAAAAAGTTATTTTTGTTTTGTACTTAACTTCTTTATGACCAGAAAATGTAAATTTAATCAACTCATGAAAATATTAATTATAGTATTGAATGAAACCTTCTGCGTATATTTATCTCAAAATCATGTTAATGATGCAAAATGCTTCAACAATTTTTTTCTATCTCATTTTGTAGAATAATAATTGAAACTTGGCAATGCTTGGAAAAACGTTTATGTCTTATTTTCACAAAGAATAATTGATTTGATTAAATTTTTCAGTTTATTTTCTTTAATGTTGTTAGACCAGCCACTTTAAACTTTATTTCCCCTTCTTCGGATCAAAATAAATTAGATAATGATAATAATTACAAATGATGATCCAATCGTCCGTTTCCCAACCTTCTACGAATGCATAAATTTACAAGACTGGGCAAAAAAAAATGTTTCTTTCAAATTTCAAATATATTGACAATTCTTTTTGTTTCATCTCGCTCTTCCGTTTATCGTGCGTCATTTGCGTCACACCCCTTTGCCAAACAAATCGTCGTTCGCCAGGGCGCGGTGGAAATCGTTGCATATCAAATTACAAGCTGCAAATTGCGCCGAGAGTTGAGCATCCGCGGGGTAAACAGCCGCGCGCTGCTGGGGTGAAAAAAGCTCACACAAAAGGCGCGACGAAATTCATTTATAATTTTCCAAGCCGCGTGTTTGCATTCGCTCTGCTTTTTTGTTCGACGCGCGTGAAAAAGGCAAACAAGGCGCGCGAGGGAATTCCTGGCGAGCCGAAAACCACCCTGCGTGCGGTGAAACTGGAGATGCGCCGCCGAGACGCCCTGCGTTTGCTCTCGTCGCGCAAATACACCTGACAAAATGCCATTTCCTAAATATTTGTGCAGCCTGAAAAGGGCAGTCTCTGGTCGCACAAAACATATAATATAATTCCTTTCACCGGCGAAAACCAAAAATTTTTCAAATACAAACACCTCTCTAAGCTCTCGTTTCAAAGACACTTTTTGTTGCCCTCAGGCCAGACTGGAATGTGCTTTGCCTGGATGAAAGGACCAGGTATTTGAATATATAGTTTTTTTGAACATAATATTATTATTTTGGTGCAGGAAAAGTCTCTGAATGTTAAAATGCTGCGTTGAATTAATTTTTAAGTTTTTATTTATGAAAACCAATCAACATTGATTTCTTTTTCTTACTCATTTCATTGCTAAAGGGAATCACGCTTAATTGTTTTAAATTAAATTTGTTAATCGCTTACTTCAACAATTATAAGAAATTCGGCGGAAATTATACCAATTTTATAATTAAAAAATACAGGATTGAAGATGTGGGGTTTGTAAATTTCGTTTTGTGCCCATGCAAGATTAAATTTGATATCACGTTTTAGGAATCGTTTTTTCTCTTCGAATTAAAAAAAAAACTATATTTTTAACAGAGGATGTGTGAAAAAATCCTCATCAAAACCAAAATATTCAAAATTAATTTCAATTTGAATTCTCAATTAAAGTTAATATAAATTTTCATCGAAATCATTCTTGGACATATTTTATATAAGAGCAGATGATTGAAATTTTCAATTCGAAAAAGATCTAGAATTTCTTCTGCGGAAACGAAAATCGTGGGAATATGTTTTGCTAATCCTGGATCCAGACGCTTGTGTTCAATTTACTGATTTCGACGCCAGACGAATTCCAAAAATTGAACGGTCTGAAAAAAATTCTGCGTACAAAGCGCGCAAGGATTTCGTTTGCCTGCGTTTTTTCGTCTCGGCGCCAATTCTTAATGTTGAAATTCTACCCACGCTTTTGTCCAGAAAAAGACACGAACAATGGGGGTGGTCACTTTTTTTATCACGGAGGATTTTCCATTTGACTGGGCAGCTGTGCAGTTGGTGGCGATTCTCACGCCGAGAAAGAAAGAAAGAAAGCTTTTTGTGTAATTTTTTTTTCGAACGAGCTGTGTCAACAACAGGGGTGTGTCGATTTTATATATATTTTGAGCGTGGGCGAAAGGAATATATAAATTGAAAGGACAAAAAGAAGAAATTTCCACTCTCCACGGCTCCTTCTTCGAGTGGGCAGTTTTTACTAAGCAAACACAAGCAAGAATTGTAAACGCTGCGCATGAAAGGGATTTCAAGTGCGCTCCACAGAACTGGACGCGGGATCACTAAAATACACACACAGCAGCGTCATACATTCGCAAGCGACGCATTAAGAAAAAAAAGACAGTTCCACGCTCGTATAAAAATAAAATTGAAAGAAAAGCTAGGAATTTCATCAATTCAATTAAAATTAAACAATTATTTTAATGATATATTTTTCTGAATCAAGAAAAATGTCATCAATATTTTTTGCTATCAATCTCGTGTTTTTTATGGTTCGGGAAAATTCGCAAAAATAAATTCTCAAAGAAAAATAAAATTCCCTGGCATTTTTGTATAATAAATGAAATTTCTTGTCAAAATTTGTAGAGTTTGAAGCTTTGATTATGCGTTGAAAGCACTCTCTGGTGTATCAAACTCTCCGGGGGTGAAATCCGAGCCGGTTAATGTGCATTTGGAGTGCGAGCGAGCCCCGTGTATTAGTTGGCAAAGCAAACACGCCTACGTGTATCTATCCTTCAATAGCTCTGGTTCGGCTGCTATTTTGAGTGCAATCAGACTCCTCTCATTTCAAGGGTTGATACTTGCTGGAAATTCGAGAAGAATAATCGAGCCGATAATTGTGGCGAAATCAAAAGCTTCAAAAGGCACGGCTCGTCATTTATTGTCGCAGGCAATTTAGCCACGCCATAAGAATGAGTTACGCAGGTTTTTTGACAAATTTTAGGCGAAATCAAGTTAGAATTATTAAATAGTTCCTTTTTCAAATGAAATGAACAATCCACAATTAGATCATCAATTTATTTCACTATAAAATTAGTTCCAAATTTAAATGATTTGAATTAAAAACAAATTTATAAATTAACTATTAGAAGAAGATAAATCTAAGGACCAAAGTTTTTTTTTATTTTTTTATTTCAAATTTTATACGAATGAAAAAGTCATTCTTGGTGTAGAATTTGTACAATTTTTCTCTTAATATATAAATACACAAATTCCAATTCATCTTCAATTATTTTAATCTAGCAAAAATTACAACTGGAGTTCGGTTTTGATCTTTTTATTCGCAACATAATAAGTCATTTTTTCACTTTTTCCTTTAATTTCTTTATAATTTGGAACTTTGACCTTTATCTCGAATTTATTTAGAATCGTTTGAATGCAAAGCGTTTTTTACTGTTGTCTTGGTGCTCCTTTATTGATCGTTGTCTTACTCAAGCAAGCAAGCTAAAGTCGTGTTACAAAATATGGTCAACTGTTTAATGACGAGAGACGCGCGGTCCTCTTGAGATTGCCTGGCTGCTCGCGCACGCAATTATGCTGCACTCGTTGCTGCGCTCAAGAGTGCAGCGCGAGGTGACAATCACTCTGAATATTCACTCTCGAGAGTCACATGAGCAATCTCGTCCTGCAATTCATTTCTTCATATCTGTACAGCCACACATCTTTCTTATATACACAATTGCACGCGCGTATACTTCATTAAAAATAAGAAAAAGCGAAGGAAAATACCCGCAGTTCCCGTGAACACTCGACCCAATTATTCGTGTTGCAATTGTAAATATTTTTTGTTTATAATTTTTTCAAATTATATTGAAATAATAATTCGCCTTTATCCTTCAATTTTGACGAAATGTTACTTAAAATGACAAATTATTTAAATATTTGCTTGAAATTTTTATTGATTTGAATATTTTTTTTACTTCTATTCCATTATGAATTTGGTTTCCTATTTCAAATTGAAAATAGAGCAGACGCGTGTTGCGTGATGAAAATAATGAGAGCGCGTCTGCTGCACCCTATAAATGCTTTTTATTTTCTGGCATGTCTCATTTTGAATATAAATGGCAGCTGTCAGTCTATACGAGTTTTCGCTCTCTCTGCGCCTAAATTATAATAAAAGCAGCGCAGAGTGATGGCTGCACCAACAATAAAAAATAAAAAAATAATCAAGTACTCAAACTGGTCTCGCACCGGCCTGCCTAGCTGCTCCCCACGGCGGCGGCCATTCCTGCATGTTTCCTACTTTTTTAAAGTTCCACTCGCAAAAAGGTGCAACAAATATTCAATTTCCTCAGCGTGGCTTGAAAATTTTAAACGCTCGCAAATTGTAATGAACTATTTTTTAAGTTTGATCTTTTTTATTTATGATTGATTTCAAATGCTAAACAATTCAAGAATAATTTTTTGATTGCACTCAATTTTTCTAAATAATTACAAAGTTTAATTTAATCAAAGCAAATAATGAAATTTTGAGATCTCTGTAGAAGATTATTGTAATAGCAACAATCGCATCAATTCCTATAACAAGATTTCTTATAATTTCTGAATTAATTATATTTACTTTATTGACAGTAATTACAGCATTAAGGCTTGAGCTTGAACTATTTACAGAGAGTTTTTTGTAATACAAATTGACTTTTGAAACTCTTACTTTGTTCATTCATTTTGTCAGTTCTTGGGAAGTGGAAATTTTTCTCTCTCTTGTTTCACATTCTCTTGAAAAGCAGCTCAAGGTATTAGCTCGAGATTAGTGGATGAGAGCGCACAATTTTTCATTCATTTGTTTGCATATTTGGCGTGTTTTTCTTTCGCCGTCCTTAAAAGGCAGCTCGAATTGAGACAATATATGTGTGCGGCCCGAGCTGACGCGAGATTAGAAATTTCATGTCAATTGTGTATTTTCATCTTCAAAGACATGCCAAAGAAAATAAAACGCATCACTAAATATATCCAAAGGAAAAATTTTAATCATTTCCCTGTTGATTTATTAGTGAAACATTTACCAAGTTTTTCAATTTCACAAATAATTAAAGAACAAAAAATCTTTTGATTTATTTGGCTGTCATTTGAGCTTCTGTGCGGCTCCCACATACTCGAGCTCTTTATTATCCTCTCCATTTTCACTGGCTTGATATATAAATTTATTTCACTCCCCCATGCAGCTTAAATTAGCCTTAACAAAGCAATTTCCTTTTACTTTTTCAAACAACCGCTGCAGCCGCAGACGCGCTGCAGCATTAAATTTTCCTCTCTCTCACCACATCAGATACGAAAACATTCACGTCAGTCTGATCGCTTTTAATTGACTCATTTGAATGCCGACGGAGCACAACAACGAAATTATTGGTCGTTCACAAAAGAGTAAAAAGTTTAAAAACTTCTCATTACGTTTGGCCAAATAATAACAATGAAAACTAAAACTATTAATCTCATGCAGATTTATACCAATAAAAATACTGAATTTTTTAGTAAAAGAAAATATAAATTTATTTAGTTAACAGAAATAGATTTTTTTAGATTTACTTTAAAAAAATGTAAAATAATATTTAATTCTTGAGAATTAAACAAATTTTCACTTTCAAAAGGTTGTAGCAATTATTATTTGGCGTTAAATTATTTTTGAATTTCAACAGCTTTATTTCGTTCAGTGAATCATATTTTAAGTCCAATTTATTCATTTATAAAAATTACTGATTTAAATTTTTACAATTTTAAACACAAATTGTGATTAATTGAAGGAAAATGTTTGATTTTGTTGCAGTTTCGCGGTTAATGGGCTCGTCGAGTGCGGCCGCGTCGATGAACATGAACATGCCCAACATGCCGAGCCTGTCGACGTGCAGCGTCTCGGCCGATTCCAAGCCGATGCAGTTTCCCCTGACGCAGCGCAGGAAACGCAGGGTCCTCTTCACCCAGGCTCAGGTCAGTTTCAAATTTTTATTTACCTTTCAATAAAAGTATGGATTTGCGGCTTTTACAAGAGGCGCCTATTTAGTTTCATCGCCAGAAATATAATTTGATGAATTTCAAAAGATGATTCCGACCTATTCTTTGCTTAGTAAGGGTTGGGAAAATTACCTTTTGCGCCGTTTTGCGCAACTATTTGTTGGAAAAGATGACGAAAATGTACTTATAAAAGCAAAATATATATAAATTTATTTAAAAAAATTGACGAAAATCACCTAATTGATATTCATTCAAGAAATTTTCTTCTATAAAAACTTTGATAAATTACAAAATATTCACATTTTTCACTTTTTTTCCACCAAAAAACCGCCAAAAACACCTACATAAATACATGAAGGTGACTTTTTTAACTAAGCATATTTTGTTTCCTGAAAACATCAGGTGAAAATTTTCATAAAATACGTGATGATTTGGAAATAAAATAATATTTTTGAGCTTTTTTCCAACAAATGGATTAAAACTGATTTTCCATTTGTTTAGCCAGTTATTTAAATTGTCTCAATGAACTGCGGCGACGGAAAAATTAAAGTCCGTAGTCAGCAGGCCGCGGTTGGCGGTGGCGCGAGATGCAGGCGATATCTCACGCACGCTGGCACTGCAGATTGCATCTCTGCGGCGTCGAGGGGCGCGCGTGCCCTATCGCGCCCTCCTCAGCTGGGGTGCAAAACGCGCGCGTGAGATTTTTCTCTCTGCACAGTTTCAGCACGCCTCAGAAAACAGATTTCGGTCCATAGAGAAAACTAAAAGCTTGCACTATTCATCAAATTAAAAAATATTCATAAAATTTACAGCGAAATAGATTTCGGCTTCAAATTTTTTTCGTTATTCTGTGAGTCGGAGGAAAGTCTTGTAGATTAATTAAATTTGAATTAATATCCCCCTCTTTAAAAAGGGTAAAAAAGTATAATTTATGATTAAAGAGAGAGTTAAATGTTTGCTCAAATTACTGATTAGCCACAGAATTTTTTCTTATTGAATAATCTATAATTTTAAAAGACGCCGCTTCCCATCTTTTTTAGCCCTTTAACTTATGGATGCTCCCGATGGGCTGATTTTTTTTTAATTTTTAAAAATGAGCACTGTATGAAGTAATCATAAATTTCAAAAAGCTCCGCTTTGCTGTTTTTTGCCGCTTCAATTTTCCAAAAAATCTTAGACTATTCTTTTTACCAATTTTTAAAAATGACCTCTGTTTGAAATAATCGCAAATTTCACAAGACTCCGCTTTGTTCTCTTTTTCCCGCTTCAATTTTCCAAAAATTCTTAGAGGAGACATTTTTTCAATTTTTAAAAATGAGCTCTGATTGAATAGTCTTTAATTTTAAAGGCACCGCTTTTATTCATTTTTAGACCTTTAACTTTCTGATGCTCCAGTCGAGCGGAATTTTTTTTTTAATTTTTAAAAATGAGCTCTGATTGAATAGTCTTTAATTTTAAAAGGCGCCGTTTTCTTTGTGTTTTAGACGTTTCGCGGTGCAATGCTCGTCTCAAAGCGGAATTTTTTTTTTAATTTTTAAAAATGAGCTCTGATTGAATAGTCTTTAATTTTAAAAGGCGCCGTTTTCTTTGTGTTTTAGACGTTTCGCGGTGCAATGCTCGTCTCAAAGCGGAATTTTTTTTTTAATTTTTAAAAATGAGCTCTGATTGAATAGTCTTTAATTTTAAAAGGCGCCGTTTTCTTTGTGTTTTAGACGTTTCGCGGTGCAATGCTCGTCTCAAAGCGGAATTTTTTTTTTAATTTTTAAAAATGAGCTCTGATTGAATAGTCTTTAATTTTGAAGGCGCCCGCTTTGCTTCCGTTTTAGTCGATTAACTTACGAGTGACTCCAGATGAGCGAAATTTTTTAAAAATGAGCTCTGATTGAATAATCTTTAATTTTAAAAGGCACCGCTTCCCTTCTTTTTTAGCCATTGAACTTTCCGATGCTCCTGATGATAATTTGAGGAACAATCATAATTACTTTTAAACCCTAAAATTTTCCTGTAGTAATTATAATTTTAATATGGGAATCCATTTTAACAAAACAAATTTTTGTCGACCTGAATTGATTTTTATACTTTTTGAATTGTTGCAGGTTTACGAGCTTGAGAGGCGGTTTAAGCAGCAGAAATACCTGTCGGCGCCGGAAAGGGAGCACCTGGCGAGCCTCATCCACCTCACCCCCACCCAGGTGAGTCCGAAATTGCGAAATCCGTGGCATCGAATGCGGTCTAATTGGCCCCGAGGCCTCGTAAATTAGTGGCGGGATTGAGCTGGGGGTGCGATAATCTGGGCATTACTCACTCCAGCGCTCTCGGCCGCCGGGATTACAATTCATTTATGCTAATGTGGAACAACAGCTCTCGAGCGCCCATCTGGTGACTTGAAGACCTGCAAGTCGCGCCACTCAACAGGTCCCTCCTTATATTGACCCTGCATTGCACGTACACGCAATAAATGTATGCGCACTTGATACATCCGCGCAGCAATCAACCGCCGCGTTTAATTAAATTTATGGAGGTGCTGCGGGTCAATTATTCAATTTTTATTTTGAGTAGTGAAAATTTTACGTTGTATTTAATTTTTTAAAAACAATTTCAACAAATTATAGTTTAGTGTGGAGGTTCAGAATTTTGATAGGTTTTTCAAGTGCACTACTTTTGAATTTTCAGAAGGTTTCGATCTCGGTCTTGATTAAAAACTTGTTTAAAATTCATTAACAAGTCTCATAATTTAGGTTTCTTTGGCTCTTGATTCCACTCGCAAGTAATTTACACTTTTATATCATTGGAATAAGAAAAATCAATGAGGAATGTATAAAATATGTAGAAAATTCATGGATTGAAATTGGCTTTTTTAATAATTATTATTTCCAATAATTCTTATCTTAGTTTTCATTTCTCTATTTATATACATATATATTTCTAATTCTCATTTTAATTTTAAAATGGATTGGAGTAGAAAAATTTAGTTCAATTAAAGCTTTTACAATCGGCCAATGTTTAGCAACTTTTCTGAATTTATTTTAAAATTTGATCAATTTTGATTTGAATTGATCATTTATATTTTTTCTTTATCAACCCAATGTTATTTCTAAAAGTTTGTTAACTTCAAAATGTGAAAAGAAGACTAATCTGTTATATTATTTAACAATTATAACAAAATGTTGATTATTTATTAATTCCCTTTATGATTTATTGTTTATTTTTCTTCATGGAAGACAATTGAAGACGAATGTAATTTAAATATAATTAATTGTTAATAAGCATTGTTTGTATTTAAAATAAAATATCCTCAAAAAATCAAATATTGAATTTGTTTTTTCAATAGTATTGTAATTTAGAATTTTTTTATCCTCTGCGCTCCGCATATATTTTCAAGAGTGCAATTAAACACGCGCAGAAATACATTTTGCCGCGATGAATTGCAATTGAACTCGCGCCGATATTAATGAGAACGCGCTCGCTCGTCTTGTGTGTGCAATAATGTAAATTTTAATCACCACCTCGGCGCGAATGCGTTCAAGTTGATTGATACGCGAGGCGCACGTATTTCGCAACACACACAATAAAGGGTACGTTTGACATCAATAATTGAGCGAAAAAAAGAGACACGTACGGATCATTAAAATACGCGGATGTGCGCGTCGAATAATAATACATTAATTTTTCCCCGCTCGCGTTGAAAATTCGCTGAGAGATCATTTCTTATACATGCGGGATCAGCGCGCGTATAAAAACACAATTTGCCGCATTCGATTGAGAAGAAAATCATTAAAATCCCAGAGCAAATATTGACTTTTGGAGCAAGAAAGTGCTCGCGCGTGGATTTTTCTTGCGAATTATATGCATAGGGGGGAAAAATCGCGACGTGCCCTGGGATTAAGACAAAAAGCTGCGTTCAAACGACGCGCGCGGGTCCATTTTTTAATCGCGGCCAATCTGCAAAAGGGTCGCGTCTGCAATTATCAGAATTGGACTTCCTCGGCTCCCAAGACGTCGCTCTAAATAATCTCAACGCTGATTGCCCACTTCCGCATTTTCGGCCAGCATTTTTATATGTTAATTGCGTCGCACAATTAATGGCAAGATCATGCGAACTAGAACTGAATTATGTGCGAATATCTTGTGCCGAAATTTAATTTCATGAATATATTGATAAAAAATTAATCATGATAAATTTGAAGTAAAAAATGGCCTCATTAATTTGGATTGTAATTTTTCTCTACATTAGCAATGGTTTGTAAAATGTCATAACAAGAAAAATTTATTAAGTCACGGCGAGCAAAAAATTTAACGTTGATTTTAATGGGAATTTTGAATTTCCTAAATTAATGTTTTTCTCAAAATTTGCGTGACCAACATTGATAAAAATTTGACCAAATTACGTTCAAACCACCCCAATTTAGATGAAAAATTAAATCAAGAGGTCATTTGAAGGATCAGAAGTTTTAATATCCAAGTTGTCCTAAAATTTGATGAACTAGGAAAAGTAATTTTTTTCCTTCACGAATATTATTTCTTTTTAATGAGATATTCCGAAACATTAACCTTAAATTAATTTTATAATCGGTCTGTCTAAATGATCAAAATTTCATATCAAAGTATAGTTCATATCACCTCAAATAAGCTCTTATTTGAAGTTCATTTAAAGGTTAATTGAGCATGTTATTATTTTATCCAGAAAATTTATCGATTTGAAACTACTGAATAGGTTTATTCTTATTCAATTAACCTTTTGCTTCTCCTATTTAAATTTGTATTCAATTAAAATTGTACTTACAAAAAAATCTGAATGATTTGGAAAAAAGCATTTGTCTTTTTAAAAAGGTTGAACTTGAATTGATTTAAATTTTCGTCTTGAAAATAATTCCAGACATGAACAGAATTATCATAATCCTTATTTAACAGGAGATCTTCATGAAAATCAAAGAGAATTAATAAAATTATACTTTCTAGTCGATGAGTTTGAAACAAAATTAATCAATTTATTGCTAATTTTATTTTATCAGAGCTGCAAATATTATTTAATTATTTTAAAATTCATTAATATTATTTAGCGTCGAAAGCTTAATTTAATTTGTTAATCCGTCCTGCAGACATTTTGTACAGAAGTCCTAAAGCAACAATGGCCGCCGCGAGAACAAAGCCCGAAATAACAAACCGCGCGGCCATCTGGCGCGAATGCTCGATCCATAATTAATGGGCTCGATCGCGGGCGTTTATTTATTCTGTCATTATATGAATGGACGCGACGTGAATAAAAAGGGCCCCCCGTTCGGAAATATTGCGAGAGCAGCTGCGTCTCGAGAGCCTTTTTGTCCTGAATCTGCGCGCGACAATTTATGTACGCCAAAAACAATGCGCACAACTCACTTGAAAATTACGCATTTTTCAAAAGGGCTCACACATGTTCCTTCGAGTGGGACCCGCAGCTTATTAAAAGATAATCACGTGTGCTGCAGCCAATAAGAAATTCATTATTATAATTCGGCTCCCTACTTTTATATTTTACAAGGCTGGGAATTTTCGTTCGTATGCAACTCGAGTGTGTTTCTCGAGAGCTCATTAATGAGAGTGTGTTCTTAAAAATATTGAAAAATTTCTTCTGTTGCCAACAAAAGGGGTCTCATTGTTGTCCAGATTTTATTCAAGTCTTAACGGGAGATTTGAAAAAAATCTCACGGTGGAAATAAATAATGCGAGAGTCAAGGTTTGTCAAAAGTGGCGTGCGAATTTCAACGAATAAAGCATTTGCCAATAAATTTTAAAAGACAAATAAAAACTCCTCAATAAGATTAGAGAGTAAAACTTACATCTAAAAACCTATGCTCTAATGTTAAGAAAAATTAACATCAAAATTAATTTTGGGCCGTTTTTTTTTTAGCAAAAGCCTCTTCCTTATAAATTAAAACTTGAATTTTTTTGAGTAAAAGTTGAAAGTACAAGTTTTTAAGGAATGAAATGAATATAATATCGAAATTTAATAATCAATTTTTAATTCTTGCAGAAATAAATTTCGATCGGTTGCTGAGGAGATTTTGTTGCTATTCGAAGAAGCGCAAACCTTTGGGGATCGACAAATACGGAGAGATAAAATCTTGATTGGGTGCGCGAGCGAGGGGAGCTTCCGTCTTTGCTTTCTTTGGATTCCGACTGAGTCATTATTATAGTCAGTCGCGTTGTTTATTTTCGTGCATGCCTAATGTCCAATATTTGCTTGTGCGCGCGGAGAGAGACGCGGCGGCGGCCACTCATGAAATATTCACTTTGCAATTTATGCCCGCGCGCAGCCCGGCAGCATCGCAGCCGCCGAGCCGTTATATCTACAACCGAAAATCTCCGCCGAGCGATGCACAAACAGCAGCAGCAGATCGCCGTGAATAAAATATTTGCAAAACTGTGCCTTGCAGTCTAGATCAGAAAAAGGAAATAAATAGTTTCTGTTCCAAATAAACTTTATATTTATTATTATTATTATTTTTTAAATTAATTGACTTCCCTTAAAACCGATTAATTTTAATTGAAGTTAGGAATAGTTAAATTAATTTTATCTTATATTGAATTTTGAAAATTAAAAAGCCCAATTTGGAAAAATGTAAAATTGATTTGATTCGCATTCAGACAATTCACTTTGTCATTAGATGTCAAAATTAAATTAAATTTTATGTTGATGATAAAATCAGATCGCAATAAGAAAGTTTGAATTTGTTCAAATATAAATTGATACACAAAAGTGGAACAAGCTCTCTTTTGCTAGCCCTTTTCGTTTGATTGGCAGAGCGATTATGTCGCGGAATTGCACAAATTGTAAGCAATAAAAAGGATTTGGCCGCGCGAACAAAGCTTCTGTGAAAAGGATGTGTATAATTTCTATACAGTTGCGAGCGCGAATACAATGAATGTGTTTTCGCTGGTGCGCCGCAGGGGCTGCTTTTTCATCCCTTGTATCATTATTCCCACGTAATGCAATCAAATAAAAATTATTGTGTGTATCCGCGAAAGGGCGCGGTGGCGCGGAAAAGCAAATTTGGCGGCTTTGCAGCGCCGAGGAATTCGCCTGCGGGGATGATATTTTGATATAGGGGTGCGTGTTGAACCAGCCCGGTGGCCGCGACGGGGTGCGACGTGGTTCGTTTTAACGCAAACGCGCGCGTGGGAACAAAGCGCATTCAGGGATTAAATCAGCGCGCCGCGGAATTCGCTGCCAAGCAGACCGCAAAGATGCAGATTAGATAATTATATGGGCGGTGTTTTGGTTTAAATACTCGTGTCTGCAACCACATCACTGTGGGAATATAAACGTGGCGACAAGGAATTCAAAACTTTAATTAACTGATCCATGTCAAATTTGAGTAAAATTCAATTCAGTTTTTTTTTGTACTATGTAAATATCATCATCGTTAATTAACTAAACAAACTCCCAAATTCTTTTTTCATTCACCTTTTTTTCATTTGTGCTATTATTCGTTATAATTTGACTAAATAATTAACAAGTTCATTTCATTTTTTATAACATTTTTGATCAGAAAAAAAACAGGACAAATTTCTTGCAAGTTATAAAGTTGAAAAGTTAATCTAGATATACTTTCTATTTATGAATTAATTAATTCTAATTTTGAAAATTAGTTAAATTTTGTTATCTAATGACAAAGTGAATTGTCAGAATCAACTAATTAACTCTAAGTAATGTGAATCTGTTTTAAATTTCTCCAAATTGGGCTTTTTCATTGTATGGCAAATTAATTTGTTTTCAATTCAAATTAATCTGTTTTTAGGCAATTCAATTAATATTTTACAAATTAAAATTTAGCAAAATTATATCTTTGATGCAGTGTTAGCAAAATTAATTGATTTCCACTTGAAAATTGGTTACATTTTGCATTCAAATTTATGCAACGCGCCCAACACTGCTACTTATCAGGCTGCATACCCCGCCCTGCTTTTGATAAACAATTGAGATGATTTGGATTTTTTTTTTTGCTTTTTGTTGCAGGTCAAAATATGGTTCCAGAACCACAGATACAAGTGCAAAAGACAGGCTAAGGAAAAGGCCATGGCCGAGCAGAACGCTCAAAACCAGGTAAGAAAAATATTCATCCAATTTTTTTTTTAGTCACAACCAACCCTGATTTTACATGCAATTTATAAACAACAGCTCGTTTTTCTCTTCTTTATCTTTAGAGATATAAAAATATTCCATAATACACGTCCAAATTGAATTCTTTACACGCTCCGTCTTGAGTGCTTTTTCCGCTCTATGGCTGTATAAATAAAAAGTATATAGTTTAAAGAGCACGTGTGAGATTCACAAACCGGATTACTCGCCAGGAATTTTTGTCCGTTTCTACGCGGCGCATTTTCATTTGGATTTGAAAGGGACGTTTATATATATTTTCGGGAGATGAAATGCGCTTCTTGCGTGGGCAAACACACAGATAGAGAGAGGGAGACGCCAATATTTGTCTTCACTTCTGTTGGACCACAAAACCTTCCTCGTATACACATATAATATTATATTTCACATAGAACGACTCGTGATTGCGTTTCGTATGAATTTTATCGAGGCGCCGCACCAGAAAAGGGAGAAAGGCCACGCACCCCTTTCTTCCCTTGGGGGTTTCGCTAAAGATTAATTAATTTAGAGCTCGTACAATTTTGTTTGAATTTCATGGCGGTGGAAGAAGGCGCGGTTCATATCAGACGCGGCTGCCACAGCAAATATTGAAAACGCGTCAGCCGAGCAAAGAAAGAGGAAAATAACTCGCGGTACATCAAAAGTGTTTTAGCCGATTTGACTGACGAAAATGTGCACCGGCTTTGTTGGCCCATCACTTGTTCAAATAATGTAAATGACTTTGGCCCGGCTGCTGCTGCCGATGCCAAATGAAATGAAAATCTGATTTTTACTAAACAAAATATTATAGGCTCCAAGGTTTGAGTATTATTTCCTTAATTTAAAAGATTTTCATAAATAATGAAATTTAATTACAACTTCTTAATTAAGTTAGTAAATTTCAAAATTGTAATTTCTCGGGAAAATTTATTATCAAACGACATTGAGAATCAATGGGTTGAAGGCATGAAATGAAAGATCCCCTGCCTTCGAGTGCCCCTGAAGTTACACGCGGCACATCGATGGCTTTTCTCTCCGTGAAGCCCTTGGCAGGGTTCAAAGCGGTGGCGGCGGCGGCGGCTGCACTTTCAATATCGGCTCAAGTACCATTAGGCGCGCGAATAATGCAAAAACTCTGCTCTGCGGGTGCAAAAAGACATAAACCTTTGCGCAGATCGAGAGCAAAAGCGCATTTACAGCCGCGGAAAGAAACTTAAAGCTTTGAAACAAGACGAGGTGCTCAAAATTACACGCCTGCTTTTCTTGAAGAGACCATTCGGAAGATCTGCAGAGAGGCGCTCATTGGCCGTAATTGGTTTTTCATTGGCGAGAGAGGCGAATTTCCATCTCAGTCAGGCCGCAAGTCCTCAAAACCACGAGAGCCTTCCATCCAAAGAAAGAGGCCTTTCAGTTTAAGAAAACCACTCGCACGAAATGAGTCCTCCAAAATTTTAGACGAATATTTCCAGATAGATTCTGAAACCCTTTTCACTTCAAAGCTCAAAACAGATCAATAAGTGAAAATCATTCCAGGGGACAGTGAAATTGTCAAATTTTTCCCACAATCTAATATTGATCTCCATATTTTAGAAAAAGTTTTGAATCGTCATGAATGGATTTTTTGAAAATTCTAAATTTTGTGTTTTTTGAAATGATGGAGTGGGTCTCTGTTGGCCTGTGCGGAGCGAGAGTGTCTGTCTGAGCGAGTCGCAATGGCCCCCGGAGTTTGAAGAGCGCTTGTGCCACATCAATAGCGCTGGCCCCTCCCCCTCCGCGTAGCCATTTTCGCCGAAACGGGAAAACGCTGCTTTCGCTCGCTCGCTCGCTCCCTTCCTTCTCTGGGCGCAGCGTTTTCGTCTCGTTGGTGCCCGAATTAATTACGTTTATTACGACGAGGGCGCCGAATTTCGGTCGCGGTGTTTCATTGCAAGGCGCGCGCGCGTTGCCAAGCAACCCTTGTGTGTGTGCACGAAAAGCTGCGCGTTCAATAGGGTGGAAGAGCAAAGCTTTTCCGCGGTAAACAGCCGCTTGATCAAATATAATACACAATAAATATGTAGAAACTCGGCGCCGCCATCTTTGCTTGGTGCTCTTTTGGCGCCGCGCGTGATTGTTGCTGTCTAATTAGAGAAAGCGCCAATTAAACTCTCTGATGCAGGCGCAATCGCCAACAATGTGCGCGCCTCGTCGCTCGAGCGTAATGATGAAGAGTAATTGAAGCCCTTGAGCGCAAACAGCCTTCTAATAATTCCGTTCCGCCAGCGCGCGGGGCCCTCTGCTCTGCACCACCGAAGGATGCTTCAAAAAGCATAAAACATTCCCATCGTGCTTTTTTTAACAGCCGAGTGTGTCTTTCTCTTTTGTTCGATAAAATAAAAAAAGGAAACAATGATTGGTTCATTAGTTAATTCTCAGTTTATTTGGCGAATTCATTATAAATTAGTTAATTATCTTGAGAGAAACTTCACAACGGAACTATGGAGAAGCGACGGGGCAAGAAGAAATCATGGTTTTCGAGCTTGAAACATTAATAATCAGGAATCATTTTCAATCCATTGTTGGCATTTAATATTAGGCCAAAATACCCAGCAAGTAAATTCAATTCAATTCAATTATTTTTCTCCGAACAAGTCAATACAATCAATTGTGAAAACGGGAATAAAAGAATATCTTGTGCATTTTCTTCTTTAGTTCACATTATTAAAAGAAGTTACATAGCGTCAATTCCAAACCTTCTAAGTTTATACAAAATTTTGAAGTATTTTGAAGTAAATTATTAAAAAATAACCTCAACTTAGAGGCAGAGAAATGAAAAAGTAAAATTAATTTATTTAAAAATAATTATTATTAATATATTTTGCTCTATTTTTGAAATAAGTTCTTTCCTTTTATTCTTATAAAAGTTCATTCTGATAGAGCTAGATATAAGATAAAAGTTGTGCGCGCCTCTTTAATCTCTTGAAAGTGCAGCGCCGTGTACGTTTTTCTTGTTGAGAAGAGCGAGCGGCTCTGCTGTGATCGATTTTGCCGGAGCGGAGGGAAATGGTTCGGAATAACAATAAAACGCTGCGGCGGCGAATGAAAGATCTTTCGGTGCCGGGGATGCTGCGTGCCCGCGGCTATTGTGGTGGTGTAATTGCATCAGAGTCCCTTTGGCACCCCTATAGCTGTTTATGCTCTCGCAAATCGAATTACATTTCGGAAAAGGAAACCGCGCGCATTTCCCAGCTACGAAGAGATAAAAGCAAAACTCCCTCGGCGCGAAACGCCATCGCCGCCGCAGCCAAAATCAACACCTTCCTCGCCTGTTATTTCAGGGGCTTAACGCAGATCCGCGTGTATTAACACAAAGCTTAACTTCGGCGGCCCCTTTTGTGAACGCGCAAGTCACTCGCTATTGTTGACTGGAAATTGTCCAAGCAAATTAAATTTTCATCGACCAATTCGTAGCAAAATATCAATTACTTGGAAAACGAATCAAAAATTTAATTAGTATAAAATATTCTATGATAAACAGTTATCTGGGACTCAAATATCTATCAAAGTTTATTTAAAAGTTGTGTGAAGCATTAAAACGTTTTCTTATTGGTGTTCCTAATTTTTTCTAAACTTAATCTCGTTTCTTGTGAAATTGCCTGTCAATAATATATGAATTAAGAACAATTTAATTTCTAGGGGTTTTTCATTTAGATTGATATTAAAACTTCATGAAATTAAAAACTTATGCGCTGCCACTTTTCATATTTCCACAAATTTCAATTGTTATTTATAATTTTTACTTTACATTTAGGTCTTGATTTATCCCAGTGCGTTCCTTTTGATATTCCGCAGGTTGCCTAATCTTTTTATCCTTTAAAGCGGCGAGGATGGAATTTGTAGCAAAACAGACGCACGAATTTTACTCGCAAATTAATCAATGGAATAAGTGTTTTGTAAAGTTTTTTTTCTTAATAGAAGTTACACGAACTTATTATGTCTTTCAAACTCAGTTTAAGTGTATCATGTAATTATCTCAACAGAAATAAATTCAAAAATATAAATAGTAAAAATGTAAGAAAGGTTTTTAAAATTGCAGAATTCCTAAAACTGATAAGTTGACAAATTAGGAAACAATTCACAATTTTCCTTGTTGATCCACAATTTCCAATCACCGAAAAACGAGCTGTTGGAGGAAATAACCAAATTCAATGAATACCCCTATTAGAGTATTATTGCCAATTAAAGTCCTGAAAGCTTGTGTGAATGTGTTGCAAGATAACATCGGCGCGAATTTTTCGATTAAAAAATAATTCTGTTCTATCAGAAGAGATTGGATGCGGTATTGGTATTTGTTTAATTTATAAATTTGCTAAAACTTTCTAAATTTTCTTAAAAGGTTCTTCGAAGTGCACATGACAAATCGAAAGACATTTTATTTATGCTAAAAGTTCATGAAATTAAAAAATAATGTTACTATTTTTAGTATTTTTAAACTTTTTATATTATATTTAATAATTTTTTTGCAATTTAATATTTTAAGTTTAGATTCATCTGAATTCATTAATTAACCTTGTTATTTCGCGGGTTGCATATACATATTTTTATCCATGAAAGCAGCAGGGACGGATTTAGGCGAGGAGACATTCTATCTTTGAATTTTTACGTTTTATAAAGTTTCTGTTACATTAAAAAAAATGCGCATATCAAACTCCTTTTTAAGTTGATTTTAAAACAAAATGCAAAAACTGCAGATTTCAGGTTAAGTTTGCAATCAATGAAAAACGAGCTGTTCAGTAAAAATCCCTTTTATAGATTAATTAATCTTGATAGAGTTCCTGATCGTTTCAAGTGTGAATGTTTCGCAAGATGGGCTTGAATTTTTTTTGTACCAATTAAAACAAAAAAGAATTCAGGTCGATCTAGCTGAAGTTGGTAGTGGGCGTGCATGGTTTTTTGATAGCGGTACTCGACTGCTGTGTTCGCAGGCTCAAAGTTCACCACGTCGTGTTGCAGTTCCCGTACTGGTGAAGGACGGCAAGCCGTGCTCGGGGACGGCGGACGGCCGCGGCGGCGCCGCGCTCGGCGCCGCGATCGGCGCCAGCCCCGCGAGCGGGCAGTCGCCGCCGACGTGCTCGCACTCGCCGGCGGTGCAGCAGCAGCTGCAGCAGCAGCAGCAGCAGCAGCAGCAGCAGCAGCAGGCGTGCAGCAGCACGGCCAGCCTGCTGTCCAACATGGCCTACCAGCGCCAGCACAACCTCATCAACCAGCACCACCAGCAACAGGCCAACATGTGCTCGTCCTACCTGCCGCTGCAGGGCCGCGCCTGGTAACCACTGCAGACGCCACGCTTGTAAATAAACGCCATATTTTCAACTCGGTGCACAGAGAGACACATGCAAAGTGAAGGACACGCGACCGGGTGTATTTTAATTAACATAAAAATATTATAATCCACATATTTGCAGGGCAGAGGCACCGATGATTGGCGCAAAGATTCGAATTTAAATTCATAAAATTTCGGCACCAAGAAAGTTGTTTCAATTGTTAAAATTAACATAAAAGTACAAAAGTAATTCAGTTTATTTATTTTCAGTTTTTCTCTTAAATACAAAATTCTGAAGAATTGAATTATTTCGATTTTGGTATGAATTTGTTTTTAACAATTTCTTATTATTCTTCATTTAATGATTGAAAATGTAATTAATTTAAAATTAAATAAAATGAGAGATTAATAATGTGTGTAATGCAATTTTGTTTCCGTCGAATTTTCTTATCTTAATAGTTTTTTTTCCCGATTGATATAAAATAATGCGACCCAATTTTGATGAAAGTTGACCAGGGGACTCTGGAACAACTTCTATTTTTTGCCAGTTTACTCTAGAACTTCAATTGACATGAAAAAATACTGATATTTAGGCAACAAAGGCGACCTCTGTGTGAATATTTTGCCTACTTTTCAATTTCCAAAGTAATTGAAATCACATTGATCTCATATTATGGCAGAAATTGAACAAACATAACAATTGAAAAAGAAATTTCTCCTCAACTCAAGCAATAAACTCAATCCGTCATATTCAGTATAAAAGTTTCACAGGAAAACTGATTATTTATTTTTTACTTTTCATTCACCGATTGAAAATTGTTTAATATCAAAACATCGTCTTGTTTTAAAGATTATTATTAAATTTTGACTGCGTTTTTGAAAACTTTGGCAATCTCGCCGCCTCTCCCCGCGCAAAACTTGTACCAGCGTAAATTTTAAATACAAAACTGTCGTGCACGATTTTAAACTGGGAATGTGAATCGAAGGTTTTTTTGTTATAGCCGCGCGGTTTGTTGCACTCGCGGCAGCGAGAATCCGGGTGTTGGTTGGTTTAGCAGGGTTTTGTCTCGCGCACCTGGAAAGTGTTGTGTACAATTTTTAGAGAGGGCATGTGTGCATTTTCTCGTCGTACCATACTTTGTCATACGTAATTAGGTTTAACTCAATAAAATGCCGAACAAGCACGTCTCAGTTGGATAATGTGTAGCCATATGTATAATTACAAACAAAAAAAATTATAATTAATAAGGAAAAACCGTATTTAATAATTGTGTCATATGAAATGTGAACTCGATTTTTGTCCAAGACCACAACACTCACAATCCACTCTCTATATTATGAGATAAAATCACGATTTCTACAAGATTTGAAGTAAAAAAATCCCGTCTCTTTTTTCTGTATAATCCGCGCAAATATATATATTTATTATTGTGACTCCATTCACTGTTGAGCCTTTGTAAATACTAGCAATAAAGTTCATCTCATCCTGTTTGTCAGAAAATAAGCCACGATTTTATTTTTTAATTCCTTATCCGCACTAGTGAAGAAAAAAAAGAATTATCGCCGCGTCAAACCATCAAGGAAGTGAGACGCAGCTTTTAATTTTTCTCATTTATTTTCTTTGGTCCGAAATCAGGGCCACTTATTGCGCCGGGCCCAGAGATAAGGCCCACACATGTCGGCGTCAGAGGAAGTCGAACGTCCGCGGCCAAGCCAAAGTGGCTCCGATTTGACCCGGGCAGTGACTCGGCGCTTTTTTCAGCGCGCACGATCCTCGCCAGCAATAAAAGGTAAGCTTTTTTTCACACGCCGAGCAAATTGGCTCAAATTCCCAACTGAAAAGTACAATTTTTCCTTTGCTCTTGAGTTTCTCGCTTTTTATTTTATACACGACGCGTTAGCAATTTGATTCGTAACAATAATCGTCAGATATAGAGACCATCAGACCTACCGCATCATGGGGTTTCTTTAAACCAAAATATTTAACAAAATAAATTAGTATGGAAATGAAGAGAGATCGAGTGTCAATTTCTTCAAACAAATAAATAAATAAATTAACCAATATTTTTAATAATTTAATTTATTGCATACACATTTTTATTAATTCCTTTATTATGAAATATTTATTATTTGTTTGTAATAATTATAAGCTAAACATGGAGCTTTATTCACCGAGAAGAATGTTAACTGAACCTTTTTCCCAGAAGATTGATATGTAAATTTTATTTGTTGACTATTTATGAAAAGATGAAACTTTTGTTCAAAAAAATTTATTTTCTTTCTTTTCAAATTTTCTGCTTATTCTTTTTTGGATTGCATTATTTTTTGTATCAAATTTCCGCAGCGTCGAAAAACTGCACCCTCGTCTTTTTTTTCATCGCAACGAGTTTGCAATTTTAATTTTGTGTGACTTTTGAAGAAGGCGCGTTGCATTCTCTGTGTAATTACCATTAGAGGGCGTGCGCGCGTCCGGGGTGCATAATAAAGAAGTCCAGCAGCACCTTGGCTTGCACGCGTAAAATGTACATATTCATGCGGCTCGAGAGGGCGAGAAATGTGCAGGCAGCAAAGCAAGGGGTGGTTTTTTAATATTTAAAGCAAGAAGCAGGGAGTCGCGAGGCGCACACAAGGGTGGATATTATTTTTCTCTCTCTCTCTCTTGTAAGGCAAGTCATTACCGGCCTCTCGAGGCGTCATTAACATTCAAACGTCATTAGAGCACGCTTCATGCAAACACGTACCCCGTCCACCCGCCATTAAAAGTGCGAGCGAGCGGCATCCCCAAATGTACCCTGCGTACATTTATACATGCGCGCCTTTGCCAGAAATTCTCTCTGCTGCAGATCAAGGGAAGACAGAGAGAGAGACTCGCTTTTGTGTGAGCGTTATTCAGTGAGCGAAAAATTTCTATGCGCGCTTGTCCTTTCAACGTTATTCTTTTGAAATTCAAGGTACAAATATTGTGTTTTTATTCAATTTCAACTTCAAATTCTGCAAAAACTTAATTCACAGCGCTTCAGCAAACAAACCGTTTTTAAATTGTGAAATATTTTGCAGCAAAATAGATTCAAATTTAAAAAGGCGCTTCTTTAAAAAAAAAACTCGGCCCAATTAAGTATTTTCTTAATAATTTTCCTCTGCAATAGATCTCAATTCCAAGGAGAAGTTTTAAGGAAACTTAAATTCATTTGGAAGAGCTTAATTTTTTTTATTATTTTTACAAAAGTATGTCAATTTTTCTAAAAATAATTTCTTTCTCACAATTGTCCTGACAAAAGTAACTAAAAATTTCAAAATTACCCAAATCAAGTTACTGTGTAATTAAAACAAGGTGGAAATTGTAATGCAGCTTATAATTTTGTAAACAAAATAAACGGAAGTTTAATACACAATAAAGCTTTTTGAAATTAAATGAAAGTGCAGCCTTAACACTTAATTTCCCGCAACGCAAGCCGAGTTACTTGCTTCGCTCTTATTTTGCAGATCCTGGTTTGAATAGAAAAAAGTTCAAATATAATCAAAGCATTGCTCGAACCGTTTGAATAAATGAAAAAATATTAAAAATATGCAACAAATTTAAAAAAAAAATAATAATTTGTGTTAAAAAATCAATTGGTTTTAAGGGACCTGAAAATACAAGGGAATTCTGCTGGTGGAGAAAACAATGAGGAGCTTTTTTATCCCCATAATAATAATAATATGATTTTGCATGGCAGGTCGGCTCGCACTAACGAACTAACGAGAATCAATACTTTTGCTGCTGCTGCTGATTGCCTTTGTCTGCACAATACAAAACACAGACGTGCGCCAAGAGAGGATTAAAATCTCGCGCACGCTGCACAAATCGTTCCAACAAATATATAATAATAAAATGCTCCCTTATTTCTGCATTAGCCGCTTCATTGTTCACAGACTTCGGCCTCGAACGAGTTGCCACGTGACCTTTAAATGAAGATTTTGATATTCAACATATTGGATTTCTCTGAAATTTGTTGTTTTTTATTTCAATTGGTTCCAACAAATAAAAAATAATTGAATTGAAGTGCAACAAAAAGTAATTTTGAAATCTTTTCGGTGTCCTGAAAAATTAAATGAAATTTTTGTAATTCATATTTTATTAATTTATCATTTTAAGACTTGAATTATAAATGAAATTTGCTATAAAAAAAAAAAAATGCACAAATTCTCTCAAACTTAAATTAGTACTTTTGACTAAACGCACGTGGAATTACGTTCCGAGACGCGAGATACCGAGAAAAAACCAGAGTAAAAAAGTTAGATAATTCCTGTTGAGATAATAAAAAATATTAATTGAGGACGAACATTTCCCAAAATCAATTGGGTTTTAAATTGTCTGTCAAACTTATTTCTGGAGATGGTCGATTCTCTTCCTGTGCACATTAATTTTCGGAAATTATAAAACGTGTCATGGATGTTATGAGCGTGGTTTGCATGTGTTTGACAGGCGCGAACTGGTATGTAAATAATCGCGGGCCGCAAACAAACTGCCGAGGATAAATATCATTCGCATCCGCGTATAATCGAATAAATTATCGCGCGCACAGAGAGTGACCCTCGCCCCTATACAGATCGGCGGTCGCTCTGCTCTCATTACTCATAATATGCAGAAGCTGTTTTATATTTTATGCATGCGCGCGCGGGGCGTGAGTGACAACAATGAGCGGCGCGACAACAATCGGAGCGTGCAGTATGGAAATAACGCACCCCCGGCCCTCTTTGATTCACAATCGGCCGCGGGTGCGACGAAATGCACAGGATTATCTGCTGCTGCAAACGACACGTCCCAAATTGCGTTTCGGACGCAGGAGCACAAATTTTCTTTTCTCTTTCACTGTGCATGCGCTTTGCTGCGTCTCTCACCCTCGCACCCCTGTTAGCATTATGAATATTATTTGTTTGCACGCCACTTGGTGCAATTTTTAATTATATGTTTCTCACTTGCGCTCTCTCTCTCTCTCTCGTTTACACATTGTGCGTCTTTTCATTTCAAACGCACTCCACACTGCTTATTAAAATCAGACTCACTTATTCATAATTAATTAAGATGTAAATTCATTATTTCTTCCTATTGTTCTCAAATTTGAATTCATGTTATCTTGAAACTAAATTAAACCAACAAGTTTTTTAAACAAATAAAGTTAATTAATAATATAAGAAACTTCTATTTTTTTTTTTTTTTTATTGCTTTTATAAAAGTGGAATGTCATATAATTTTTAAAATAATTTATATAAAACAATAATAATTTGTTATGTTATATTAATATTTTAATAAATATTTCCAAAATTACATAATTTTAAAACTTAAAATAACATTTAATAATAAAATTTACAACTTTATGGTATTTGAATTAAGTTTCGTCTTTTCATCAAAATTTGGTAAAATTTTAATAACGAATTTGAAAATTTAGTCATCTCAATAATTTAACACGAGCTTTACAAAATTTAGATAATGCGGACAATTTTGTCTTTCAAAACAAAACAAATTCCGTTCTTTTTTTTCAGTTGCTCCAACGCACTAATATGTAAAAATACTCCCTATTATGCGGGTAAAAGACCTTGCGCTTCATGAATGCAGCAGCAATATTGTATTGCGCCTTTTTTCTATTTTCCATGATGCGATAGAAGAGAATTAAAACCTTTGCTCATTGTACGGGGGCAAGGCAGAGCGGATTGCCTGTCGCTGCTGCTGCTGCACATTCTCAGAACAATTACCTGAGCCAATTTGCGTTTTGATGCCGCAATGTATAAAGCGCGGAGGGTCTCGCGGCTCATTGTGCGCGCGGAAAGCTGAAAAGCTTTTCTCTCTCTCGACCAGCTTTGCGATTACGTCCGCTCGATTGCTCCTGTATCATAATTCCTGCACGACACGGCCGTAGGGAGAAAAAGAAGAACAAAAAAATACTCAACCCTCTGCACTCTCTGCCTCCCCAGAGCAGGAGATTCCGACTCGATCCACTCACCTGATTCACCACGTGTACTGAACCGAAAAATACTTGTTTTAATTAACTCATTTAAAAAGAAAATAATTAATTTTATAGTTCATTATTTCATGTTCAATATGAAAAACATTCTTAGAAAAAAAAATATTTTTCCAATTCAAAATTAACAAAAAAAAAAGTGTGGAAAGCGAGGTTTTCAAAACTAACAACTTAAATTTTTTAATTGTTAGAATTAAGTGTAAAAATACAAGCTGCACAAAATATATCTGCTGTTTTTCCAGGAAAGGAAGACGTGAACAAAGTGGCACAATTTTCAGTGTATATAATTCTTGAGACGGCATGTGCGCGACGGCAAACAATGGTTCGAAACGACATAGGTAAAAAAGTGTTATTTCGAGCCGAGAGTGACGTGTCTGGCGTCGAGTGAGAGGTGAAAAGTTGGATGACGCGAAAAAAACGCACTGGTCAAATAAACCTCCTCCTCGAAAAATGGGCGCTCATTTCGGGGCCTTCGTGTGAGTTCTTCAAATCGGACCCAATCAGCATTCCTCGCGCTATCGCGGTTTAAATCCAATGACGACGCGTCTTTTCTCTCAACACACACGAACAAGGATACAGTGTCTTTTTTTTTGTCATATTAATATTTGAACTGGCGTTTAAAGTTTGATATAGACTGCAGCCGGCGCCACACCGCATCTCTAAAAATGAGATCACGTAAAAAAAAATGAATATTATTTAATACTCAATTACAGAATTAAATATATTGCATGCAATTGGAAAATTGACAATTGAAACGATTCTCACAAATCAAATATGCAAAATATTATCCTGATAAACGAGGCAAGAGCTAAAAATCCTAGCACATTTCTAAAAACTTATCTCGCGCATGAATTTAATTTATTAAACCTCCCTGCTGTCCGCTCATCTTCTTAGCTTAATTAATTATAGCTAGTAATTATAATTGACTTATCTCATATATGCGATGGAAAATCTTGAAATTTAGAAAATATACAAACATTTTCACAGTTAACTTTGATTCTTTTAAACATTTGTTGTTATACTTGTCATCATTGGAATCTTTTGAATTTATTATAAAAAAAATGTAAATAATTGTATAATAAAAAAATTAACTTAAACTTATCAAAATTTTGTAATTATTTTGTATTTAAATACCTATACTTTATTATTATACAAAATAAATTTAATTACAATAGTTATTCTAATTTTCTTTCTACAGGAAGAAAAATTTGTAGAGCTTTGAGAATTTGGGAGAAACTTTGAGATTTTCCTCGGAAGAATCTTCGTCGCCACTGATTATATTATTCTTCTTCGTAGTGGAGCGAGGACGGCTGCTAGTTTTAATGTTAATAGGACTTGCAGTGGTCGTAGTAGTGGTGGGCGTAGTCGAGGTTTTGGTACCGATGGGGATGCTGGAGGTCGTAGTGACAGTGGTCGTGCTTATCGTGGGGTCGCAACCGGCCAAGTGGGGCTCGTCGCACACTTTGGTTCTCGAGTTGAAATGTTTTCCGATCGGACACTTTGAAATGGTCAAAGTCAGCGCCGTGTTGTTGCTGCACGTGTAGTAAAAGCCACAAGCTGCGGATTCGAAACAAATTTATTAAATTAATTAAAAAAAAAAACACACACACAAATGTTGCTGGTTGAAATAAATAATATGCCTAAATTAAGATTTAAAGTTTAAATTCATCTTTATTACCTAATTTAATAGTTTGTAATTATTAATTATAATAATTGAAAATGCTTGCCTTGAGGGACTCCGACGGGACCATCATTTGTGGGGACCATGCAGAGGATCGGGATGCAGGGGCCTCGGGGGCCGTTGTAGCCCTCAAAGCAGTACGAGTCGGCATTACACGAAGGTGCTGCTGGCAAACAACCCGAAACGGCGCCTGAGTCAGGGCATCGCGAATAAGATCGCCGATTCACCGAGCATAGAACCTCCGACGGAGGGCAAAAAAATTGTGCGCTCGCATTCGCTGCAAAAGCCAAAACCTAAAATATCTATTAAATTAATTCCTGAACTTTGTGTGCAGTTTGCACTTTTTCTTTTGAAAATTCATTTTCTACATTCTGAGGAAGTAAAAGAAATACTTAAATTTCAGGATGCCTTTAAAAAATCACATGTTTTAAAATTCCGTATATAAACAATATTGAAAAAAATATGCGTAAAAGAAATGCAGTTTTCTTGAAATAAAAGTATTAAAAATAAACTATATTAATTTTAAATTTAATATAAATTAGAGACACTTTAATTGTGAAGTTCTTAATTTACCATCACTACAAGCCAAGTCGGTGCCATATTTACTTCTGGAGTGTGAAATGCGTGGCCAAGACTCAAGAGCAAGAAGAACTGTTGGCGCTAATTGTGCTCTGCGCTTAAATACTGCAGAGGTGGTACACGCGGTATCAATTCAAGTGCAATTTAATCATGCAATTAAATAAGGCGAGGCATTTTATAAATAACGCCTCTAATTTAACAGGAAATGTTGACATATTTTCAATCAAGATATGAGAGCGTCTATAATATAACAAAATATAATAAAATAAGTTGTAAAACTATTTCGCCATTAACACTTGCGTCACAGACTATATCCATAATAAGAATCACATAAAGTTTTTTGGTTTAGTGAATACTATAGGCGTTCATGAGAAATAAAACTTACTTTAAGGGGAAGTAAAACCATTTCGCATTTCAGAGAGGTTGAGTATGCATCTGGAAGTTGATTTATATTTTCGATAGCCAATAAAAGCCTACTGCGATGAGTCAATTACTTTGATTGTGACAGATAAAATCTGTTTTTTAGTTCAGAGCAAGACAAGAAAATTGTCTTATCGAGCCAATTAACCCTTTATGGAGCTGATTGCAGATTTAATATTTTAATTGCTAGGTTACAATATAATTGCTGCCTTTTATAACTTTATTTTCAGTTTCGTTCAAGTTTATTAATTATCCGATTTACGACCTATTTTGGCGCAGACCTCTCTTTAGGCCGTGGTTTCTTCAAATTTTGATATTATTTTTACTTCCTTTAGTCTTCATATTTGAGACAAATAAGTACTGGAAATTTCACATGCAATAAATTACTTTTAATGATGATATTTTTTGCTAATGAGTGGTTAAAATTCTTAAAAATATTGAAAAACACTTAAGTGTGAATGAATTAAAATTAATTAAGTTTCTGCCTAAATATTTCAAATTTTATAAAAATTAGTAATATTAAATGCAAATTTAAATGGAGTTAAAAAGTTAAAATAATAAAATTACTCACAATTGGTGCAAATTACTATTGATAAATTATGTTCGTTTTATAATTTTGAGCTTGATAAAAAATCTGATGATCCATTAAAATGTAAAAGAGACCAGCAAATTTGAATTGAATTTATTTAAAGGGACCGTAACAATTGAAGTGCAGCGCAAATAAATAGCTCTGGAGTTGTACAAAGGTAATGAAAATAATAATGAAGGCGCGCACTCGACGCGAGAGCAACTCATTCTTTACTTTTATTTCTGATTCCAACGCACGGGATGTGTGTGTATCGCGCAGGTGAATGGATTTGATGCTGGTTTTTTGTTGCAAGTCAAAATAAATAATACATCTCATTGAATGAGGATGCACGTGTGGGCGTCGCAAAGGAAAACAATGAGGACGCGGCGGACAAAGAAAATGTAAACCATAGCAACGCACGTGTTGGCCCTTTTCATATTCGACGTCGTCATCGATTTTCTCGTCTCTTATTTTCTCATCTCGCGCGCGCACCCACCGCGAGATCGCGAGCATTGTTACTGCATCTTTTTTCTTTTCCTGCCGAGCCACTTAGTTTGCATTGTGCCGCCGCCAGCAAAAGTGTATCCTTTTCCTTGAGGGCCGCACGCGCTATTATTGCAGTCACGTACTTTGGTTATTTAATCCTAATCGCTTTGTTCGCGCGCCACAATGACGGAAATGCACGTCCTCTCTTTTTACACAACAAATTCCCAACAGTTTCCGCACAAATCATTCACAAAGGGTTGATTATTAAATCAGCCCCGCACGGATCAAAACTTCATTGGAATTTTAATTGCATCAAAAGTGTTTTAATTGTTGCAAATTATTATGGAAAATAACCACACTGAACTATTTTTTCACATTTCTTATCATTTTTATAGATATTTTAGGCAATTTCTTGACATACAGGACCAGCGCGAATATTATTCTGAATATTTCAATAATTTTTTGCAACTTATTAAATATTATTTCATTTATCCACCTATTTATAATTAAATTAATATAAACATTGATTCATGCTTTAAGATTTGTCGTTTGCCAATTACTGAATTATTGTAATTTTAATTTAAAACTCAATCGAATCACAATTTTAATTGAATTAGAAAAAACAATATTCCAAAAATCAATCAAAATGAACAATTTATTTTAAGCCTGCAAATCACGTGGGAATGCTTTAATTTTTCCACATCACAAACTCTCGTCACGTGTTCAACACAATAAAGAGGGATCATGAGAGGCTTGTTTTAATAACGCTGAAGCGAAATTAATCGCACTGGGGAAAAAAAGAAGCCCGGTGCGCGCGCTGGTGTAATAGAAATTTATCCACGGCTGCTCTCTTGAGGTGTGTTTTATTACATTCCGGCCTTTGTTGATTGCTTTGATGGCATTAGGCCCTCTTTGATAAGCCGCACCTGACACTGCCGCCGACGGGGGAATTTCATTAGGTCGCGTCGGATATCGAGTTTAATAATAAGCAGGGGCGCACACGCGGCCAATCTACCTGCGCGCGCTAATATTACACACGCTTTAATAAATAAATTGCTGCTCGCGAATCTGGCTATTGCCGGTTTGGTAATCTGATAATCGGCGCCGCACCCGAAAGCTCTTTGTCAACACACAACGGCGCGCACAGAGGCGGACAAAAAACGGCCATGCACAAAGTTCAATCATGTTGAACCTCGAAAGGAAGTCGAACCCCAAAAAGAGGATGTTTTTTGCTACAACAATATTAAATGTTCCGATTGTTTTCCATTATTGCGACAAATTAAAATCGTTTTTAACCAAAAATAAGAGTTAAAATCGTCTCTTTACGTTGATATTTGCATTTTAAAAGATAACTATGTATTTTTTTTAAATTAATTCTGGGGCTGAAGGAGAAACAAACTAAAATCTTCCGGCAAATTTATAAAGGCATTGAAAAGTTCAGAAAATAAAAGTGAAGTCATCGAACAGATCTCATAATTTGAAGAACTTTATTCGTCAAGATTAAATTTGGAGCAGCGAATTAAAACAAAAATCAAAACGACTTTCTTCGCCTTTGTATTTGAAAGCTTAACTTAATTAAGAAATTTTGACGAACTACCTTATTTGAACCCTAATAAAAAAGTCAATTTCTTTTAATTCAGACAACTTTTTTTAATTAATTATATTAGAGCGTCAGGTATAGTTTGGAATATTGAGCAAAATCCACATGATTTTCTTCCCCATTTAAAATTTTTTTTATTAAAATTCAGTTAACTTTATTAACAAGTTTTAAAATATTATTAGAATAAATGAACGTGTGTAAATCTCGCTCGTAAATCAACGTCTTATTTACTTTTAATTTCAAGTTCCCCCACTTGAGAGAGCAAAAAGTTAAAAGCCGCCCACACCTCACTCATTCAAAATCCGGCGGTGGCAGCAATTTTAGGAAAAATAAGGAAAATAAGCGCTCGTCGTTGGTGTGTTTTCTTTTCGCCGAAATGTGAAAAGATCAGAAGCAGGAGAGAGACGGACGGAGATTGAATGAAAATATTTTTCGAGCCGCAGCAATTTGGTTTTTGTGAAATGATGACATGACAATAACGGGTTTTTGTGCTGTTTACTCTGCACCGAGCGGGGCGGGGGAGGCGCAGTTATTATAAAACCGAGCAAATATCTTCTTTATACATTCCCATTCCTGTCTTTCTTTCTTTAAATCTTTCGTCTCAGCAGCAGACAGTGACAGACAGGTATTTAAATATGCGTGTTCATCGTGTGGGCGCCACCGCGAGTCTCTCTGCAAACAAAACTAGAGCCGCAGCTTTCGATCCCGCTCACGCCTCTGCTATCGGAATGTGTACATTATTTTATTTTGTTTTCGAAAGCAGCAAAGTGTCAATTCATTATTTCCGCGAGCGTCATCGCAAATCGCGCCGTTCTCTGACTCTGCACATCTTCAAATAATGAATCGCTTTTTTTCCCTTCATTCTTTCAAGCAACGTAAGCAGAGGGAGCAGATCAAGCCACTTGACAGTTGCAACTTGGAAATTCCCATACATAAACGTCTTTACATTAATTTTAGCGTTAAAGTAATAAATTTGATTGCAAAAGTCCTCAATCAATAACAAAACCGCCCCCCGAATTAATTCAAAATAGCCTCAAAATCACGTTCTAGGACAAAAATTCTCAACGCATTTTTCTTTTAAATATCTCAATTTGCCAACAACCGTGGTCCAGAATTAATTTCGGAGCGATTGGAATGAAACAAAAAAATTTCACACAATAAGAAAAAATTGAAGCTCACCAACAGTAATTATTGTGATTTTGGTATCGCTGGGGCAAAAGATTTCATTTTGATTTCATCGCCTTTGGCCAAGAGGCATTACCGTGTAATTTTTTATTTTTAACAAGAAGAGATTTGAAAAAATTAATATCTTTAATAAAAATACACAACAATTGGAAAATGTGGATTATCCTATGTTGTTATTTGTTGTTAAATACATTAGAAGTTTATTGAAATCATTAAAAAAAAAAAACAGGTAATTTATGATGACTCGATTAAATGAAGTTTCAATTTAATATAAAATTATTTATTTTATTAGGAACGTTCGTTAGTGATGATCAGCAACGACGATTTCTACCTCGCATTTATCAGTATACAATTTCAAATTGAAGAAACCAGAAAAGAATTTATAACATAATTGATCGTGTTTTAACAACCATTGCTTTCAATTCACATTGAGAAAGTTGACAGTTTTAAGGAAAATCATTTAGGTTATAAATGGAATAAACTATGACTTTCTTACAACCATCAAATCATGTTTTCTCTGCTGCTCTTTAATTTTAAGGAAGTTATAATTTCGATTTTGACATTTTATTTACAGAGTTTTCTCACTTTTGTATTTCAACTCATTTTGCAAGGTGTTGGATAAAAATTTACACAATACACGTGAAATTGTCTCCGTTGCCTCGTCTAAATTACTAAAACCATTTTCCAGTTTGTCTTTCTGCATAAATATAATTTAACATTGTGCGCGTCCCAATGTATGATTATTTTTCTCTTTCTGCAGATGGGCGATGGCGCCCGCGGAGAGGGCGACTGACTATACAGAGCAGGTGA